GGAGTTGATTTCCTCTCCTCCCCAAATACAGACCTGGTGTTTATCATGGGCTCAGTGTCATGTTTGTATGTTTTCATAGATCAGTGGTGGAGGGTGGGAGGTGGGAGTGAGTCTGAGGAGGAAGAGGAAGAGAGAAAAAAGAAAGTCTGAAATCAGAGAGTGCTTTCCCTGGCTGTCATTCTCTCTCGGGCATAAATCTCCGAGCAGACGGAGCGGATGCAGCTACTCTGGGAAAGTGCTAATTAATTGACGTTGAAATGTTTGGATCACAAAGCTGTTTCATAGAAGCTGCTGTCACTGGAAAACTATTACAGTGGCTGTTTCATGTCAATTCTTTTTTTCTACTTGTTTCATAGTGAAAAAAAAAACAGTTTTCCTCTGTTTTATTAGTCAGTTTGATGAGCTTTTCTTGGACAACATTGCTACTTTATAAAGTGAAAGATTTTTCATTTCATGAACTGACCAAACTCTGGAACTTTGGTAGACAATAACTCAGTTATTCTTACTTTTTACGATTAAAAACATGTTTTTAACACAATGAATCAGCTTCATATGAGTGACAGAAATCAAAATTATAGTTTTAATTTGGTATAAAGTAAGATCCATTGATAACATCACTGTTTTGTCACAAATGTGCTGCTCGTCTCCAACAGTATTCACAAAACAAAATAACTCAACTCTCCAGGCTGATATGAAAATGGATGTTAGTAACACTAAAGGATTAAAGACCTGACCATTTTTTCAGAATACTGTGTAAACAATCTTAAATAGGTGCAAACTATAACCCTTTTACATACGTTAGATAATAAATTTAGGGCTTTTAACCTTGTCAAACTGGACTTGCAGTACATTTGGCTTATGGTGTCTAACTTCATGCAGACTCTTTAGGCACACCAAGCAGCATAATCGCAAGGTAGTCTGTTGAACATGCCAACTCAAGGGGAAAAAGCTGCCTGGCATTCAGCCTGATGTTAAAACCCTAATAGCTTGACTGCTACTGGTAGAAAAAAAAAAACTGTTATTTTCCTGAAAAAAAAGAAAGAAAAAAAAATAGGAAAAAGTGAGATCATTTTGTAATTTAGGTTTAGTAAGCGATAAGACTGACAGTTTATGGCTTTCAGGGGCTTTTCAATCTCATTTATGTATTTATTTGTTCCTCATATGAAAGTGGAAAACATAATGACTTACTGACTGGTCTCAAAGAGGAGACCAGTCAGTAAGTTTACAGGCAGAGAAAAGTTGAGCTATGATCACAGTTTGGTTAGCACCACCATCCTTGTCCCGGTTTACATGCGCTGGTTAAGAATCTAAATTAAAAAGAAAAAAAAGTGTTAGAATTAAAAACTTTCCTTTTTTTATTCTATCTGTCTGTTTTATTGTTATTTTTTTTTTTTTACTAAAATTGCTTCTGTATGAGAATGACACTTGCCTTCAAACAGTTAGTCCTGGGGAGGTTGTTTTATAATCAGGGTCATCCTATGTTTGTGTAATTTAAGCAAATACCACAGGTTTTAACATTGTTCCTGTTACCACTACACTGGCTTAGATACTCATTGTCAGGATCCTGTGGTTTCTCCACACATCCACATTTTTCTGTGTTTTGCTTTGTTTTGTTGGTGTGCTTAAACTTCTGCTCTGGGTCCCTCAAACTGATGGTAAAACATTAGGCAAATGAACTTTGTGTGCATATTTACATTGGATTGCAGACAAAAGTGTCAAGGACTCACTTGTATACAACACACACCCGACAGAGAGCGTACTTCCGCACACTCTGTCTTTATGGCGGCCCTTCTAACTGACTGCAGGCTGTCGAGTGTTTTCCTCTATACATGCTTCACACTCTTCCTGCCCTCTGTGTAATTTGCCAGAGTAGTTTCCTGTGCTTCACCTCTCTGAATCACTTGCTGGCTGCTCCACCAACAGTAGGGTGACGTGGTCTCGGTAATACACGGCTTCTTTTTTGGTAATTAATAATCAAAGGTGTAATTTAGATGCCCCGGTTTACAGGACACTTAATAAAGTTTCATACTCCCCCCCAGGAAATATGAGTCATGCCCTAAACAAGCTTTTGCTTTGTATCATTCTGTTGAATGTGGGCGTCACCTAATTGCTTTACATGTTTGGGGATGACTGTAGAGAGTGTTTTATTTCAAATTATACAGATAGAGGAACAAAAATGAAGTTGCAGGATGCAGCTTGAGTGAAAATTACGCACAAATACCTCCTGAAATCTTCTTGTGTTTATGATTTACCGATGACTGTATGAACTCTCTTGTTTCACCGCCTGTCTTCATGCCCCATCCTTCCTCTGCAGTGTCTTCTGGCCGAGCTTTAGATTATAGAGCAGGCTGACTGAAGCTTCGCAGGGATATCACAGGAATCAAGTAATCGCATGGCACGACAGGATTCGGCCCTCTAATTATCCTCTGACAATGTTCACTTTGGTGGATTTTTTTTCCTGTCTGTGTTTTTTCTTTCTATACATTTTTTTTCTCTCCGCTGTGTTGTCACTGTCTGGTCCCTTTCATCTGTGCTCACAGCTGATTGCGGGATGGCGTGAATTGGAGGGTAGAGTGTGTTCATTGACCTAATGTCATGCTGTCACTTACACGCCACTCTCTTCTTCGTGTAATGACTCTTCAAACCTTCAGCGACATCCCCACAGGCCAAACAAACTGTACCTCCCCTCCCCCAGCACCACTGCATCTCTGTGATTCATGTCTGACAAGTCAGCGAACAAGTATTCACCTTTTAACTCAGGTGTGCACAACAAAGAGGGTTTGCATTGGAGGGAAAAATGGGTGTGGAGCTCCATAACTTGACCTCTACCTGCAGGAAAAGTTTACACTTTGTACAAATCTAAGAAGAAAACACTATAAATTGACAGTATGAACTTTAACATGACAAAATTGCATTAAAGTTCCATTAAAGTAAAGTATTAGTGTTCTCAGTGGTCTTTTAATTGAGATTATGAATTTTTTTCAGCCAAAATCTTTTTACCAGTTTCATTTTCAAGGGCTTTTCTTCTGCCCTGCTTTAGTAGTTCATTAGCAATTCGCCTCTGAGTCATGGAAGGAGTCAGCACTGCTCTACACACTTGTCTTCACGCAAGCTTGCAGTCTAACTTTGCCGGTGTAGCAGAAGTGGCAGGTAACATAGTAGCTATCCAGCTCTCGGACACTCATGTCTTTAGAGACATGATGAAAACTAATATCATAATTAGCTTTCTTACTAGCATTGCAATCCGCTAACGTACATGCTTGTTCCACAATCGTCCTCTCTACCTCTCTGGGCCTGGCCTGCATAGCGAGTTTCCAGGTGCAGAGCTTGGATTTGCTACATAGGAAATCTCACTGAATCTGAGCCTGCCGTTTCGGTCTGACAGAGATTCACAGCGATTTGAATGCAGAAATACTCAGAAATGCAATTTTGCACTTACTTGTCTCATGATATGTCTTGTAGCATCAGTAAAATGCTGTATGAACATGTAGACAAGAGGAAAAACATGATTTTCATCAGAGTGGGTCTTCAAGATTAAGTCAGCATCTCCAAAAACCTGACATATATTTCTGCATCAAATCTTTTCCATAGAGTACACATCCTGTACCAACATATAAAACTACATATGTAAACTGACTTATGTATCCTCAAAAATACAACTACAAGCTGAAACAACACAGGGATTCATTAATCAGCTGTGTGTTCGCTTATGACAACTCGGTAATTATTAATGCTAATACTTAGCATGTGCGCCCTGCAGTACAGCCTGTGTGTGTCGCATATTCTGATGCATAATGAGTCCAAAGTAGCTCCTAAAAAACGTTATTTTCAAGGTGTGGCGGCTTATATTTAGCCGTAGCGGTGCGCTATTTGACGTAGGGGAAACCCTGCAGTTGATGTTTAATAGGCAACACTGATCTGCCCACAACTCCGCCACCCACTCCTCTTTCAGGACTTTCTACTTTCCACGTTTTATCGTCAGTACTTTTTCATAAATTCTTGTTCTTGTTTTGACTGTCAGGTTTCCTTTTCCGTTTTTGTTGGAGCTAATCTATTGGTTGCTGGTTTTGTTACGTCACTGTTACTTGCGAGGATATCAAATACATTTGATATTATAGCAAACCCAAGACTTGGAAAAGACTGATATGAAATAGCGCAGATTACCACCTCAAACGTAATGATCTACATGATGGGAGCGTGCTGTGACTCTAGTAAAACTCCTAGATTTACTTTCGGTTTTTAGTCTGGGACTGTGAAAATTGTTGGTGGAAGCCCAGCATAAGGGAACCTAAGCATTAAAATAAGTCCTCATCTTCTTGTTCTTCCTCTGGTCTACTTAGATTTTTCATTTGTAATATTTGACCCCCATAAAAGCTGTCTGTCTACTGCAGTGACAGGAGCTCTCTCTGTATTGATCTCTTGCCTGGAAAATGAAAACCCCACCCAAGTGCATTACCTGTGGCATGGTGTAATGTTGACTGTGCACTTCAGCAATCCAATGACTCCAGGTCCACTGTACCTCAAATGTTTATTATGAATGCTTTTTTCCTGATACTCACTTAATCAGAAATAATGTGATTCATGTCAGCCATATGTTTCTCATGAAGTTGAATCTTGAGGAATGTGCACTTTGGTGAGAAGCTGCTGTGATTTGTGAGGTGTGTGTGGTAGAAAGACAACAGGGGGGCGGGATCCTGCAGGGGGATTTCCCCCTCTGTAAAATCATGATGCTCCTAACCTGTTTACCTACAGCAGCTCTTCTCTCCTTTTTTTCAGAGTTTTACACCCACTCTCTTAGTCATGTGCTTTGGTTGCCGTGTCGTCTGCTTCCATGTTTGTGCACAAGAATGCATGCATGCAGTATTTGCTCTTGGCAGCTCCAATGTATGTATGGCCAAATATCTACATGTTTCCCAGGCTTTCAGGCCAAGCCTAGTCCCCACAGTGCGACCCCTGACACATGGGTCCCAGCCCATTTTGAGCTCATATAGGATGAGGCAATGCAGGACCTGGGGAGGTTAGCAGTAAGCAGACACTAGCCGGAGTGGGGACAGGCTCACTCTTTCTCTGTCTGTCTCCCTCGCCTCCCTCTCTGCTCACTCCGTCTTTCACCCAGACAGATGGAGGGGAAACGCATTACTTTGCTGACAGAGTTAGTTGGATTGGGACCCTGTCTTTCTCTTCCATCTCTCCCAGATGGTCAACACTTTGGACCACACAAAGAGGAAGAGTTCAAGAGAAAGAGGCTGACTGAGGGAGGGAGCCCGGGTGATGATGAGACCGTGCCTGCTTGCCACACGCCGCGGTCGACTCCAAGTCCCAGCCTGGACTGCTGTAGTCCTCTGAGCTGCAGGGACGTCTCTGTTAAAGCCTCTATGATGCTAATAGCTTCCCCAGCTCCACAGCTGAGCTGCTGGGACAGTCTGAAACCCAGCTGGACCAGGACAGAGCATCCAGGGTGAAAGTGCAGAGTAATAAAAGTGTTTCAATTTTTTCCCTGGAAATGTTGCTCGGATATCTTCTATAACCACAATTTTCTTTGCATAACTTGGCATTGTGGCTGAACACAAAGGCTAAAGTCATAGAGTTGTCATCCCAAAGAAAGCCCTGGGTAGTCCAACAGGTCACCAATAGTCTTTGTCTTTTAATTTAGACTGAGCACTGAAACATATACTAACACTGATCAACATGCTTTCTATTAGAAAAGCCTCTGATCTACGAAGGTGGTTGTAACTGAGAGAAAACCTGAACCTTGCCAGCCCTCAACACTAGTGAGTCCATGCATCAATATCAGCATTACAACTTGACTCATCACTCATAGGATATATGGTGAAAACATAAAGCTTGCAACGTATTTATCCCTCTTGGCAGATTTTTTAATGTTTCCCAAATTGTTTTTTGCACTTGTCTGGATTCCTTTTATTGACCCTGACAGATAAACTGCAGGATTGTAATTAAATCTATTGATCAGAAAAATATTTGCCTCCATAGTCAGGATTTAATTGAAACAAAGCATCAATATGTTCTTGTGGAAGCATCTCTATCCACACACTTTCCAGTTTTGATTGAATATTATGGCAATAACTACAGGAGCATTTCGGAGGTTGGGGGTTCTCAAAAACTGAGTTTGATACTTTTAACTGAGCTGTAGTGCTGGAATTTCACAAGTAATATCCCAACCACAGAAAATGAAATTGTCAAACACAATCCCATTATTATAAAAGTGCAGATCCTCAGCTGCTAGTGTTTCTATAGAGATTAGTTTTAGGGCACATTCACACCAGGACTGTTTGGTTCACTTTAAAAGGACCACAGTCCCCTAACTCCTTTGGTCTGGGTGGTATGAACACGCAAGCTAACTGTGGTCTGGATCAAACAAACAGACCATGGTCCTCTTGAAAATGCGAACCCTGGTCCGGTCCATGGCCGGTGTGAACGCAGCCCTGATGCAGCCAATGCAGTCAATACCGGACTGTCTGCAAAACTGGACAAATGGCAGAGTAGAGTGTTTGTGTTCTAATACGATAGTTGGTGATATTATATATTTGGGTGTTCTTCTGTTCAACAAACACGCTGACAATATGTTAAAGGCATTTGCATTAATACCTGGTGTCTCGACACACAACGTCTCCGCTACCTCTGGTGAACTGCGTGAAGTAAGACGCCTATTGTTCTCCCTGGTCAGCTACTTTCTGTGCGTATTGGGACAATGAAGATTGTTCCTCGAGTGATCAGGTGACAGACAGTGATTTTCCCTCTTTTTTTAAACCATTTGGTTCACTAAGCAAAAGTCCCATGTGAACGCTAACCGGACCAAATGCAAAATGCAACGATGTAAACATTTGGACCCTGATCTGGACCTTCTAAGTGGACTTTGGATGACAGAGGCTCCTTACAGTCTGGTTCAGACATCAACCTGAGGCATCTGTGAACTTTAACTTTTATGTCAAACACAAAAAGCTTTTCCGCAATGATCTGATAAAACTGTGGAAGCACAGGATGCAAAGAGGTTGGGCCGGTTTGCCACTGCTCACACAAAATTTGGCACTAGAACAAAAACCTGGACCCAGATGCACCTCTCCATAAACTGCTCCAAAGTTCAAAGACCAGAGAGGATAGAGTCGTATTCAGTATGTTTTCATGCACAGGAAAGCCGATCCACAGTCGTAGCTTGATTAGTCGAGAATTGGATTACTGACAAAAGTCAGCCACCGCTACCATGGTGATGACACGTTCTTTGAGGTTTTGCAGTTATTACTGCAAGACACATTTACACTATTTAGCTTCTGGGCCAAAGCCCAATGCATGAACTCTGGAACATACATAGACTAATGTGTTTAAAAGTCCAGTTTTGGTTGGACTATTGCAATGAAATGATAATTTTACCAGCATGTAAATGAACTGAACGTGGAGAAAATGTTTTTTTTGTGTTGCCAGATTCTGAAGTCTCACTATTTGGTCCTTTCTCCTCCTAGCTGTTGCATTTGCTTGAGGTGCCGACCCTGAAGCTGTGATACTTTCTTCAAAACTAACTCTAAGTCCCTCTCCAGCACCATCCTGCTGTCCAAATATTGTAAATTGTACCTTCAAAACACACCATTACAACGGCCAGAATGCTGATCATCGTTGTTGGCGAGATGGCTGCGTCCATTATTCATACAGTTTATGGCCTGAAGTTTCAATCGATCCAGTTTTGCTGCATCCCTTTCTTTCATTTCCTAGACATGACTACCTCAGTGCAGACACTTAGATCTTTGTACCGTCTGGTTACACAAAGCCAGGTTGAGCACTGTCTCCAGATTTTGTCCAGCTCTGTGACTAAATCCAGAACCCAGTCCTGTTCCCTGTAGGTACAGAGCAGAGGGAGGGATCGACACATTTGCGTGTGTGTTTTCAGCCTCACAGAGGATCCCGGAGACCCCACCCTTTGACTAAAATGCCACAATTAGTGCAAGTGCAGCCTGGCTCACATCATATAGCGTGTTTGTAATTGTTTAGGAGTAAAACAGACCTGGTTTCTAAAGAACTCAGTCAGGAGGAGCCGAGCAGAGAGGCTTTAGTTATTTCTCATTTGAAAACTCCAACGTTACACATCAATCTGTGTCTGTGTTCATTACAGCATGAGATAAATACTGCGCCTCTAATTGTACAGCAGAGATAAATATGGAGAATTCCTCCTCTGTTTTTGCTACATCATCTCCCACAGAGGAGGATCATTGCAGAGCTCACATACCCAGAGCGCCTGTTGGACTGAGTCAGACAGCCCCGAAGATCTTATAGCCTTACCTTTAGGACCTCTGTACATCTGCACCGACACCCCACCCCCGGCCCTCTAAACCATATTATATACTCCTCATTGACCCAGGAGAATCAGGGATCTGCTCTTAATCACACGTCCCTCTTTATAAGCTCCCTGTCTTATTAAAGCACCTCATGGATGTATTAGGGGGCAATAAATCATGTTTTGTAATATTGGCGGATAGGGGGACCATTGAGGAGCAGGGCTCTGGTGTGCGTATATTTGTGTGTGTCTTGATATAAAGCCGTCTCACTTTCACCCCAGGGAACCCCAGAGAAGACAGACAAACACACACACGCACAAACACACACACACCAAGAGTCATCAGGGGTTGAAATAAGCCAATCCTGCGATCAAAGGGCAGCTACCATGGGGAATTGAGCTTATTTTACTGTATCACCATTTATGAGGTAGATATTTCAGACATTATTAAACATCTAGTGAATGAGTGAGAGTCTATGTGTGTGTGTGTGAGTGTTTTCAGTCAGGTGTATGTTCAACTAGAAGGTAGAAAAAAAATCTGATTTTCTGTCATTTTAAAGCCAAGAGTTTATATTTGGTTGTGTAACGGACTGAAAATGAGCAGAACAAACACACCACCAACATTTTTGTACAGCTGACAAAAACAGACCTATTTTACAGTTTGGATAAGTTTCACTTTTAAACAATATGGAGTTTGTGTTTCTGTACGCATGTTTGTGACTGTAACAAATAAAGGCTCAGGCAACTGATTAAAGTTAATTTTGAAAAGCTAATGATGTGAATTAAATCTATTTGCGTATTTGTTTTGTTCTAAATCGGATGATATAACAGGTATTTTGACTTCTCCCATAATGTTATAAAAAGGGCCAGAGCATGCACGCTGCACACAGTCCTGATAATGTTAGGTTACAGTCTCCTTTTCCCTTTACACCAGTTTAAAAAAGCCATTCCTACTTGCACATTGCATTGTGGGAAGGCAGCTCCAAGACACCAACTAACTTTGGCCTGTTAACTTTTCAACAAAAGGAGCAACTTGGAGCGACGAGAAGGTCAAATGTTTCATGAATTAACATTTGGGTAGGACAGCATATTTGTTAAATGTTAGACAGCGCTTTAAAAATTACAGAAGTTTACGAACTTGTGAGTCAGCACATGAACAAAAGAGGCTTTGCTCTGCCACTCATGAGTGTCGGGAAAGGCCATCACTCTTGGCAGTACAGAAGTGATAGTAAAAGTGGTTGGACCCTCGTTGGACGAGCTGAACATCATTCTTCGAACCTAAGTAGTTGTTGAACCAGAACACATTATCAAGTCCTGTGATGTTGCTACGCCCAGCACCAGCTTCTCTGCTGATGTCTATGGATGGAAACAGTGAGTAACACTCGCCCATCCCTATTTTTTAATGCTAACTACTTCCCCTACTGCTGTGCACTTGTTGTGAACCTGTTATGCACAACAGCAGGTAAGTGTAGAGAGAAGCAGGCTGGGTGTGAGGGAGGGAGAGACGGAGGGAAGGAGAGGGGGTGAGGGATGAAGACTGTTGTAAATGTGGGATAGTTGACGTATGGTTAGCCTACTTTTCATTATTATTACTCAGAGGGACGGCTCCCTTCCCACTGTGGTGCTCCAGCCTCTTCGCTGTTTACTTAGCCGAGTGGTTCCATATGGAAGAACGCATCAGTGCAGCATCTGCACAGAGACCAGACAAACAGGTCTGAGGCAGGACACGTGCATTCACAGCAACTTTCCACTACTGTATTCAAGTCCTGTATACAGGGTTTAAGATTGTTGTGTGTCAAGATTAGACTTTACTACAGTACGATGCTTGAATAACCCAGTTGTATCTTGATAAAATCCCTTTGGTTCTTGGCATCAAACAAAAAGACGCTGCAGAGTTCAAGATCTACCGATGCTTAGCAAAAGCCCGGTATCAGTTGGAAAATGCTCGACAGGTTGTAAGTGCACTAATTAACACTTCCTTTGAAAGAGAACGTTCCCTGAAGTACGGAAATGTTATTTTATTAACCTCCTTTCAGTAAACAGAAACACACACACCAGAAGGCAAAGCGCCCTCTGGAGAAACACCAGGTTTAAACAATTATCAGGCTACCGTAAGTCCATGGTGCTTAAATGCGCATCCTGAATCACCAGGCTTCAGCTGCCAAGGAAAATGTGTCGATC